CTTAAAACTAGTATAGCATGCTGAATTGGAAATAAACAAATATTTTACATGTCTCTCTTTCTTAATCACGTACAATTTATTTAATCATTGATCATATTCATGGATCATGCGGATAAATATCATCTCCTACACGTAATAAATAAATCACTAAAAACAAGTTTTGAAACATGGTTCCCTAAGGGAAGCAACCTCCTAGAAAAGAACATCACTCAATCTTAATCCCCACAAAAGAAATAAGGAATAGATAGTTAACCACAAGGATGTACAATTATTAATAAAAATCAAGAAGAGTTGGTGCAGGAAATTGACACAAACCCAAAAAACGTGGCAAGGATTATGTCCAACCAATTTACATACATGTATAACCCCTTCTTTTCTTCAATCCTAATCTTGTAAAAGGATCATGGTGGGCTCACGAGTCACCTTCCTAGTAGATTATGAAATTAAACCAATTCAATGAGGCCTACCACGTGTACCCATGAGGCCCATGTCCACCTCCATCAAAGTTGTGGTTTTGTCATTGGTTTCAATGAAAAATAGTTTTTATTTTAAGAAAATAACGAAATCCTGATTAAAAAAAATCAAAATACAATCGATACTTGAATTTGCTGACGATAAGGATTAGTTTATTGATGTTGCTTTAAGCTGTATTATCAAGTGCTCAAGTTCGTAACATCATATATAATCTTGGAATCAATGTGTAGGCTCTATCAGCACTGTTCTACTTGAAAAATATTTTAGGTCCTGTTTGTTTCGGATTAAAATCAGATTTTAATCTAAGTCAAAATCAAACAATTAATATTAACTACATCTTTCATGGGCCCCACAACTTTTCAACCACACATCTCGAAAACTTTTATCACAATCTACTAAAAATTTAATTTTAATTCCCACTAAACATCATCTTAGTCTATTGTAATGGAGCACAAGCCTTATTTTGTTTTCATTAGTTTTTTCAAGGAATACTTCAACAAAAGAAGAGAAAGCCTTTTATATGGATATGAAAGTCGAAAGGATTCATGGTCAGCGACACAGTAATTATTCTATATGATATCTTGTTATTTGAGACCTCATATGAAAGAGAATACCTTATTTCAAATAGCCCGACTAATTCAAACTTAGTACATTAATAAGATCTCTATAATTGACTTAGTTGATTTCGTCTTATGTGGGTAATTTTGAAAGTTTTGGGTTGATTGCGTGTTGTTTGGGATTTAAACAACTTTTTTCAAAGTTCAAATGGGAAACGCCTTTGATCAGCCAACTTTCAACTCTTCAAATGGATTCAAACTCGGCTAAAAGAGGTCCAACTTGTGGTTTTGTTTTTTTCTTGGGTGGGGTTCATGTTAGGTCAATATAAACAGAAATTAAAAAAAAAAAAAAAAATTTTAAAAAATGGATATTTTGAGAATAGAATTAGACAAATCTCCACCAGACTTGAGACTACTCGACAAATAGAAGTTTCCATCTAAACAATACCCACCAACGAAGAAACTACAATTTCTTTACTTCACATTAGTAAATTCTAATATAAAATGACGTAGAAGATAACTTTGAACTTGCCAAATAATCAATCTCCAAAAAAATCTATAAATACAAAGTGTGAAATTTTACGTGTACAAAGGGTAATTTTATTTAACAACATCAGCGTGACAACATCAGTTTATGTGACATTAAATGATATTATATGAGATTTATAATTAAATGGGTCACCCAGTTGTACATTTAAACGAGTCTATCCACCTAAAATGGTGTTCGATACCAAGTGTGCTAGATTACATTGTTCTTCTTAAGTGGGTCACACAATTGTACATTTGTAATGAAGCTTCAATACGTGCTCAATATAATACTCCCTTCGTCTCATTTATATATGTTTGTTTTGTTTTTCACACAGATTAAGAAATCTTATTTAATGTTATTGGAAAAGTATTTTTTGTCAAAAACTTTCCTAATTTACCCCATTTAATTATCAGTAACTAGTAGTAAATTATTATTGGAAGTAATAAAGAAATAAGGGTATATTAATAAATGAACAAAACAAAACATTCTTAATAAAAAGAAAAGACTATATAATTGAGACAAGAAAATAAGGAAAACGACGGAGGGAGTATCGAAGTCCATAACCTCAAAAAGGACAAGTGGATGTTCAAATATTTGTTTTCAAAGTAGACTTGCGGAACGTGTCAAATTTAAATTTCAAATTGTATAAATATGAAAACAATAAATCAACATACAGAAGAACGGTCTATTATTCTTAACAATTTTAATATTTTCACGTAACATAGATTATACAATACTAGATAAGTATTACAAGAGTTGCCGTGGAGGTTACTAAATTGGCGCCGCCAGGAACAAAAAGACAATAATAAAACCATTTAATTTAAAAAAAATAAAATATTAATCTGAATTTATTCTAAGAATATTCTCATATACTTAGTGGATTGGATAATGTATTAAATTAATATTATTTTAATGATAAGCATGCTTTTGAAAAGTGAAAAAGTGTTGCGGGCTGCTAATTAATGCCGTATCTTACGAAATCAATTGCTAATGGACCCAGCTTTAATTATGGAAATAAATATTAATATATGACTCAGAGGCAAACATGCAATCTAATTGGCCGACGTAAGAGTAAGATAATTAAAATCATTGCAATAGGGTAACGTTTTGTTTGGTTTGAATAAATACTATTAAATTTTAATAAAAGTCAGTGAAATGTATTTTTGAAAAGTTGATACACGTTGCGAATCTCGTGAAATATGTTGTTAAAAATATATATATTTTTAAAAAAAGACATTTAATAAATGAAGGTCAAAACAAAACTAAGGATATAAAATTAATCCAATATTTTTAAAAGAAACTTTTGAATCTCAAACGCTCTCGTCTTCTCGAAAATCATATCAAACGAACCTTCACGGATTAAATACTCAGTTTATACAAAAACAAAATAACAAATAAGAATATAAGTATAATAATAAGTAAAAATTAGATGAACTTATATATATAAAATAAGGCGAGAAAATTAATTTTTTTAAAAAAAAATAATAATAGGATTCCATTCTAATCGAAGCCTTACGTTATTTTACACGGAAAGGGCCAACCCACTAGGAAATTTTGGACACATCAACGCATAACGTCCATCCATACTTAGACTTGTGATGTGGATTGACTAATTTTTCTTAAAATTTTTGAACTATATCGAAATTACACCGAACAACCATTGTACATAAAATTATTATAAAATTCCAATTAATTAATATTTAGGACCGGACTAAACCGGCAACACCTACTCTTAAGGAAGTAGATATTCCTATTAACATTGTGGATAAGAAATTAGAAGCACGAAAACATTGATCCAAAACGGCAAAATATATTAAATAAATGTAATTAATTATAATTTAATCCACGTCATTATTAGACAGCATGCCAGTCCACGTTAAACGTAAAAATAATAATTAATCTGTTAAAGAAACGGATAAAGTGGGTCCCACACCACAAGACCTTCTCCTTGTGGATAACTATCTAATCCAACCTTACGCAAAACCATGATTTTTTCAGCTACGTGGACTGATTTGATTACACCACCGCATAAGTTAAGTCTCAAGTGGGTGACGGCGATGAACTACACGGTGGAATCTGGACCGTTGGATCGTGATTGGTAGAAAAGTCGGCAACTACATCGGTCAAAGGAGAAGCTGCGTGGACGACACATTCGCACGCCACGTCTTCTTCTTGAAACAGAGAATAAATTAATAATTTAAAAATTAATTTTATTATCACGAGTCAGTTTTTTTTCTTTTTTTTAAATATTAATTCTGCAATTATTTTTTTTCCTAAATTGTTAAAATATGACCAAATAAAAGAGGATAAGATTTACAAATTTAGTCAAAGTTTGGACAAAATTTAAAAGAATATTATGTCGAATTTAATTATTTTCTTAATTTGCATCTAATTCAAAACGTATATGAAATTATCTAAAATATTACACTAAATTTAGTTTTATCTCGTTTCCATTTTTAGGAATCGAAAATAATTGACGTCTCATATCTAAATTACCGTCTTTAAATTAAATTATTACTCGAAAATACTAAAGACGTGATTTAATTACAAATGTGTTACGAAATTTTCGTGAATCGCTGAATTTCATTTTTAAATTAGTAATCGAACTAAACCTCTTTTAACGCATTAGTTTAACTAATTGAAAAGTTAAAAGTATTGCTTTAAAGTAGAATAAAGTAATGAAATCGACATTAAAAAAAAGTCGAAATTTAATAGCAAACATAAAATTCATTAAAAATTAGTCTTCACCTAATTTTTTTAACCAAACAAATATAACAATAATCGAACGAAATGTGGGAAAAAAAATTATACTGCTAATTAAATATAATCAAAAATAAATATATACAGCTAGGCGTTATCTCGTAGGTTCCATTACGCGTGACTGTCCAACAATTCTCATTTAAGATATATATACATGTGACAATAAAAAAAAAATGTCTCAACTATAGATACAGAGATATAGAGAGAGAAGCACAAGGATAAAGCCGTATATATATATATATATACACACACTAGAGAGAGAAATTAAAAGGGTTGGAAGATCTCATTGAAAACTGAATAAAAGAGATGACATGATCTTCATGCTGGGGTGTAATTGTCAATCTTGGCCGATAAATTCCAAACCAAACCCATTACGTACGTTATATTCATATTTGTAAGTCGGTCTTCTTTCATTCTTATCCTCCTCGCACTCTCCTAGTACAGAATAAAAAAAAAGAAAGAAAGCATTTTCAGTACTAGGTGATAATAATCTTGCCTTATATACCATGAATTTACACACTTTTCGGTTTGGAGGATTAACACAGACAAACAAGAAGAGGTAACCCTTCTGAAGTTAATAAAGTTTTCTGTTTTTATACTGAATTTACTCTACATTGGGATCTTTATCTGTCGTTTCAAGAAAATCCAATATTTTGCGGGGGGTTTTTTTTTTTTTCATTATGTTGTCGAGATCTTATTTCAATCTGTTGAACTTCGATGACTATTCGACTGGAGGTGATCGGGCCCGGGTTCCGAGAGTGATTTCCGTTCCGGGAATCATATCTGATTTTGAAGATCATGATGAAGGGGTAGAATCTGATGCAGCAATTTCCCCCGTTCATCAAGAAAGAAGAGTTATTGTAGCCAATCAGCTACCTCTAAAGGCATATAAAGATTCAGAAACCAAAAAATGGTGCTTTGATTGGGATGAAGATGCCTTAATTTTACAACTGAAAGATGGATTTTCACCAGATGTGGAATTTGTGTATGTGGGGTGCTTGAGGGTGGACATTGATCCACTAGAACAAGAAGAAGTGGGTCAACTTTTGTATGAAAATTTCAAATGCGTGCCTACTTTTTTGCCAGTGAATTTGATGAACAGATTTTATCATGGTTTTTGTAAGCATTATCTGTGGCCTTTATTTCATTACATGTTGCCTTTTACACCTGATCATGGAGTCAGGTTTGATAAGGACATGTGGCAGGCTTATGTTTCGGCAAACAAGGTTTTTGCAGACAAGGTTATGGAGGTGATCAACCCAGATAAAGATTATGTTTGGGTACATGATTATCATCTCATGGTACTACCTACTTTCTTGAGGAAAAGGTACAATAGAGTAAAGCTTGGATTTTTCCTTCATTGTCTTTTTCCTTCATCAGAAATTTATAAAACTTTGCCAGTTAGGGAGGAAATTTTGAGGGCCCTTTTAAATTGTGATCTTATTGGATTCCAGACTTTTGATTATGCTAGGCATTTCTTGTCATGTTGTAGTAGAATGCTTGGATTGGATTACCAATCCAAGAGGGGGTATATTGGTCTAGATTACTATGGTAGAACTGTTAGTATTAAAATTCTACCTTTTGGAATTCATATGGGTCAGATTAAATCAATTATGTCGTTATCGGACACTGCAAAGAAAGTTAAGGAATTGAAGGAAAAGTATGAGGGGAAAATTGTGTTGTTGGGTGTAGATGACGTGGACATGTTTAAGGGTATTGGTTTGAAGTTTGAAGCCTTTGGGCAGCTTTTGGACGAGAATCCAAGATATAGGGGAAGTGCTGTTTTGGTTCAAATTATGAACTCCCCGAGGAGTCAGGGAAATGATATCCAAGAGGTTCAGAACGAGATTAATAAAGTTGCGACAGAAGTTAATCGACGATATGGTAGTGCAAGCTATGAACCAATTGTTTGTATCAATGGCCCTGTTTCTTTTCAAGATAAGGTTGCGTATTATGCGATCTCTGAGTGTGTTGTGGTAACTCCTGTGAGGGATGGAATGAATTTGGTGCCTTATAAGTACACTGTATCTAGGCAGGGCAGTCCTTTTTTGGATGAGGCGTTGGGACTTGAGGGATCAGCCGCTCCAAGGAAAAGTGTTATTATTGTCTCAGAATTTATAGGATGTTCTCCATCTCTAAGTGGTGCAATCCGAGTGAATCCATGGAACATCAGTTGTGTGGCCGAGGCGATGCATTCAGCAATTTCAATGCAGGACTCAGAGAAAGAATTGCGCCATGAGAAGCATTGCAAGTATGTTACATCGCATGATGTTGCCTATTGGGCCAGGAGTTTTGATCAGGACCTAGAGAGAGCTTGTGCTCAGTATTACCAAAAGAGGTGTTGGGGCATTGGATTTGGTTTGAATTCCCGAGTCGTTGCCTTGGGGCCTCATTTCAGGAAGCTTTCTGTGGAGCACATTGTTTCTGCATATAAGAATACACGTAGTAGGCTTATCCTTCTTGACTATGATGGTACCATGATGCCACAAGATTTAATTGACAAATCTCCGTGTCAAGCAGTTATTTCCGTCTTGAATGGTTTATGCAATGATCCAATGAATGTTGTGTTTATTGTTAGTGGCAGAGGGAAGGATTCATTAGAAAAGTGGTTCTCTCCATGCGAGAGACTCGGGTTATCTGCAGAACATGGCTACTTCACCCGGTAATATTTCACTCCATGTACGATTATGAATGTTGTGGTTGCTTTTTCCTTGTTTAATCTATCATTTTCTTCTGCTAGGTGGACTAAGAGTTCTGCATGGGAATCTTGCGGTTTAACAGTTGACTTGAGCTGGAAAAACATAGTTTTGCCTATAATGGAGCATTATACAGAGGCTACTGACGGTTCGTCAATTGAACAAAAGGAGAGTGCTTTAGTGTGGCATCATCAAGAAGCCGACCCCGATTTTGGCTCATGGCAGGCAAAAGAGCTTCTTGATCACTTGGAGAGCGTTCTTGCTAATGACCCCGTGGTTGTTAAAAGAGGCCAGCACATTGTTGAGGTGAAACCACAGGTAGTGATCATAAAGCAAACCCGAAATTTATCACGGAAACCTGTTTCTCCCCTTCCTTTGTCTTGTAATATATAGTTTAGCACGGGAATAATTCTCAAAAAATTCATTTTCCTGAATTAATATTAGGGAATGCTCAACAGCTGATTCTTCCAATGCACGATTTTCTGGGTTCAATGGAACTCATAGGTATAGAAAGAAGTTCTCTTAAATAGAGATTTTTTCTATCTATCACAACAAAGAGTATTACACCTTTGACCAAGAAATCTAGTAGTTCATCGAATAAACTTGAATTATTTGGGGCCCGGAAAAAGCGGAGGAAACTGTCTTTTTTTAAATTATGAATATCTGTTAAAAGGGTTTTCTGAAAGATTGTGAATCCGCATGTTTATGATTCAAGAAATGTCTCTAATTCTTGACTAGATTATGTAATGTTGAAATATGTGGAATAGAATCTGTTTCATCTTTGATATGATGTACATTCTTGATGTGCTTAAGGGTGTGAGCAAAGGCGTGGTCGTTGAGAATCTTATTACAACCATGAGGAACACTGGGAAGCCACCCGATTTTGTGTTGTGCATAGGGGACGACAGATCTGACGAGGATATGTTCGAGAGCATTGCAAGTTCGCTTACCAGCCGTTCATTGCCTGATACAGCAGAAGTATTTGCGTGCACCGTCGGTCAGAAACCGAGTATGGCCAAGTATTATCTGGATGATACATTCGAAGTCATCAAAATGCTTCAAGGCCTTTCAGCTGCATCAGCACGTCAATTACTGAAGTCTCCCCATAATCAAGTCGATTGAAGGCTCAACGTGAATGACAGGAAAGAAAAGCAGAAGCTTCAAGTTTGCTCATCCGTGTGGAGACTATCACATCTGCGTGCAGCATGATCTAGAGACGGAGATATACACAGCTTTGTACAGAGAAAATTTACCTGACCTCTCAAAACCAATAGAAGTTTAAAAAAAATATTGATCCTGGTTTTTCCTACATCCCACCACAGGAAAGAAATGATAGTTTTCTCTTTGTTAATAGTACTGTATGATCCATTGACAATGTTCATTATAGTTCTTGGTTCGCATATTATACTTGACTAGTAATTTCAGACTGGTTTTGAGTTATTCGTATAATCTTGAAGCAGGATGGATTTGTTCCCTCAACTTCTAATATTAACTTGTGTTTTGAGGCTTACATAGTATAAATTGATCGATGGGAAAATAGAAATGACTTGATTAGAGGAAATGAAGCCAAGAAGAGTACATCATACTTTCTTGAATGCAATTTGACCATTACAGTGAATTGTTATGGTACATTTGCTCAATCACTGTGAATTCAAATTCGATGCAGGATGAGCTACTAGGGTAGGTGGGGCATAATCAAATATGGTCAAGCTCTCAGCTCGGTAGCTCTCGGACGCCCCTCTACAATACATCTAGCCTCAGGAAACGTCCCCAAGAGTATTTATGACAGGAGAGGATCGAACGTCTTCTCAACCCACTTGCACCATGGACTCGGCGAAAAGGATCCTCCAGCTACAAGAATAGGATCAATATGTGACGAACTTTCCTTGCTATTCATCACTATCAGAATCCTGCCTCCAAATTTTTGTTCGCTTTATCAAGACATTACATATTTTGCTCACCCCGATACTATCTTTGCTTAATGTTTCTTGTTTGGAATGTCAGTACGAGAAATTGAGATCCAAGGACATCCGTTTGATGTCTTGACCGCTTGATAAATTTGCATCTAATCTCTGACAAATACTCGCTCATCTTGTACCAAAGCTCTTTTTGGCAACTAGACATACTTTGATACCAAATGTTACGTACTTGTATCAAATAGAAAAACAATCGATTATGGTGAATAGAGAATGAGTTTACTCTTCAAATTCAAGCCAAATACATTCCATTGTTATTTTATAATGATTGCAGTAAAAAGTTACAGAAGTCAGTGTTATACCTTTCAAATTATTAAAATTATATTTGTTTTGATCGGTTATATAAATGTATTGATCAAAATTTTGAGTACAACTACTCCGAGCATCCCGGGCTTACATAATTAACTTTACAATCGGTCATATAACAACAGATTGAAAATCAATCAAAAATTAACAACTTCATCTAATCAGTAAGGCTACCTTCGAGTCGGTCCTATGATCTAATTAATCCTATGGACTAATCAATAAGGTTCCCTACAAGTTGGTGCCTTCAAAAATTGCTATTCCAGTAGGAGACGTTGGGCAGCTTTGTGTGAAGTGGTGTCTTCAATTTTCTTGCCTTGTAAATACGCATAAGCAGTTCACTTCACATTTTATGCACAAGAGCAAAGCCCTCGAGGTTAAAGTATCCAGCACTAGATATGTCACCACCAGCTTGGACTTAATCACCCAACATGGACGGTAATTGGACCTTCAACACGTGCATTACTTCTTTCCCATTTTCAGCTTTGAGCGTGCAGCTGGGGTCAGAGATGGACAGGCAAACAACAGGCTAAAATTCAAAAAACATTTTGAGAGAGTTTTTGAATTTAGGCAAGACCAGGTGCAAAAATGTTGAATTTTTTGGTAAAACAGGTGAAGAATCAGCACGGAATTTGAAAAAGAATAAGTTGCTGAAATAAAAGCTCTTAGGCACCGTTTGGTAACCATTATTCTAGAAAAAAATGCATTTTTTGTGTCAAATCACACCTTTTTTGTGGTTAAAAATGAAGGAAAAATTATTGATGTGATGGAAAATATTATTTTATTGATGAATGTGTGGTTGAAAATTAGTAGAAGAATGAAAATGAAAAAAAGAATGGATACCAAACAGAGGCTTAGTCATTCATAGAAAATTCTAGACAAAATAAATTTCAGTCAAGTCTAGAAGATTCTATCACCACCATATAGTAGAAGCCGCTAGAATTATCTATTATCCACCGCCATTGAAGAATTATCTAGAATCATCAATCTGTGTAGAAGAATCCAATGTATATATATAGAGAGAGAGAGTGTGTGTGTGTGTGTGTGTGTGTGCAAGAGAGAAAGTGTAAGGTGTGTGTTTGTAAAGAAAATATTTTTGTTAATAAAATCATTTTCGTTTGGCCTTTAAACTCAACAATTTGGTATCAGAGTGAGGCGGTCGGAGACGGATTTTTTGGGCTTCTTGAAATCGTGCACAAAAGGAGATTGTGAAGTTTTTGTAAAAACTTACTTGATTACGATGAGGTAAATGAAGTCACGATGGGCGACTTACAAGTGGTAGGCGGAGTAAAGAAGCTCAATAATCAGAACTACGTCATATGGCAAACTTGCATGGAGTCGTATCTCCAAGGGTAAGATTTGTGAGAAGTTGTTGATGGAAGTGGCGTGATGCCACCAGAGGAGGCCGAAGTTCTGAAGAAATGGAGAATCAAAGGGGGTAAGGCCCTATTCGTCATAAAGACAATAATTAAGAAAGAATTGTTGGAGTATATAAGAGACAAGACTACACCAAAGGAAGTATGAGACACTCTAGCAGCTCTATTTTCAAATAAAAATGACTTGAAGTTGCAAATAAATATTTTTATGGCATAATATTTGTCAATAAAATAAATAAATAAGAAAATACATATATTTAGAATAAAAAAGTAATCAAATTCAAAACATAAAAAGTTGAAAATTTTATAATTATTAAACATGTTTAAAAATTGAAAAATTTGAAAAAAAAAAGTTAATTTCAACCAATGTTTTAAAAATCGACCCAGGCATCGACCCAAAAAAGGAAGATGGTCAAGGGTCAAAAAGTTGAATCGGTATCGAACCGATTGTCAAATTAAATAAATAATTATACACATAAATGCAAAATGTTATAAAAACAATAGATTTTTTTTTAATTTTAGTTTACTAATTTAAAGTAAATAAATATCTATATTTTTCTTAATTAAATTTATTATTGTAATTTATTTTACAACTTCAAAAAGTAATAATTAATATGTAACAAATAATTTGATTTGTTATTAAAAATAATTAAATAAAATATTTAAATTTAGAATTGAAATTCAATTTTACCTCATCCCACGTCGAATGCCAATAGAAAATTAGAAGATGATATCTCCTTTAAAAAAGAATATCATGATAGTAGAAGTCATTATTGGGCTTGCTAGTAAAAATAAGTGAGCCTCAAATTAGTTCAAATTTTTTTAAAGAACATTGATTTTTCCCTAATTTTTATTAATTTCGAATCGAATTTTCGGATCGGATATCCGATAACATAGCAAATCGGATATAAATTTAATAATGAACTATCCGTTGGATTATCGGATTGGATATAGACAGATCTAATCCATATTCGATCCATTTACAGCCATACTATACACTATGCAAATGATACACAGACTTTAGCAAATGAATATATATGACAAACTATAGTATTAGGATAGGTGGCTTGTGGCTTTGAACATTCCTTTGTTGTATACAATTGAATTTACTAAATTAATTGGTGAACGCGATGTCTTAACCATTCAGCCGTTTGTGTAAATCAAAACAATTGTACCAACACCTTATTCATCTAACCACTTTGGTTATCATGGTTGTGTTCATTTTGGCCTTAAACAACTCCTGATTTTGTAAGTGTTTTAAGAGTATTTTAAGCCTCAAATTCTAAAATTCTCGTAGAGGCGGCTGTACTTCATACTTACATAGGTGATTTGCTACATCTCTTGTCTATTTTCAAGATATATGAATCATTAAAGTATACACTCATTATTCTAGCACTTTCAATTTGTAGGAATGGAAGTAAGCGCTTTATACTAAATCTTTCATTTAGTTGTCCAATTGAACCAAGATTTTGAGATCTCCAATCTATAAGATTGAGTTTCCGCTATGGTGATTTCATTTAATAGGCTTTAGGCTCGTTCCCCTCGAAAGATAGTGTACTTGATCTCTTGTAAGTCCTTCCATCAAAGAATCTACTATGTTTTCCTTCGATTTAACATAGTTAATCAAGATTATACCATTTGATATCAACTGTTTAATGGTATTGTCTTCGAAGAATATGTCGAGATTTACATTATATATACTATTTTGTGCCTTTACAATTGTCGATTAATTATCACAATATATATTAATCGTATGTACCATTTTTCCCAACATGAAATATCCTCAAGAAAATTATGAAGCCATTCTACTTCTTCTCCAATTTTATTTAAGGCAATAAACTTAAATTCCATCGTGGATCAAGCTATACAAGTTTGTTTAGATGATTTTCAGGACACAGCTCCGCCTCCAATGGTAAACACATAACCCTTTGTAGACTTTAAATCATTTGTGTTGATATCCAATTCGCATCGGTATATCCTTCTAACATAGTTGGATATCTTGAGTAGTGTATTCCATAACCAACCGTGTATCTTAAGTATTTAAAAACTCGGGTTAATGCCTCCAATGTTCATTACATGGATTATTTGTAAATCTATTCAACTTGTTGATTGCATATATTATGTTTGGACTCGTACAGTTGGTAATGTACGTCAAGCTACATATAATGTGTAAATATTCTAATTGAGATACAGGATCACCAGTATTTTTTGCTAAGTGTAAACTTAAGTCTACTGATGTTTTAACTAATTTATCAGCATACGTGTTAAACTTCTCAAATATAGAAACTTCCATATCTTTCATATCAAAATATTTTATCAACATTTTCTTAGTGGAGATAATAACGTTTGAATTATTTCCCATGATTAACATATCAACAATATATAGACATATAATCACTTATCTATTAGGTGTGATTTTGATGTAAATACATTTGTTACATTCATTAATTTTGAAGCTATTTGACAA